TACTTTTTATCTTAATATTACGAGGACGAAGTCGCGGGCAATAGCTAGTCTAAAACAAATATTAGGTAAGTTTTTAAGTTGATATAAATAAATAATGAGGATAAATAACTTTGAGGATGATCTTCCTAACAACTCGTTTCCATTCTTTTTACACATAAAATGTAATTTAGATGCAAGAATAAATTACGTATGCATACATAATGTAATAGAAAGTAATAATAGAATAAACGCATTAATTTATTGCACGTGTTTTATTTTATATGACCTAGATGGCATTCATTAATTAAGGATAACAAGTAGACATGTGTAAATCACCTCTGAACCGGTGAAGAAATCAGCTCACAGCCTTGTATCATAGAGCTACGGCTCAACAAATAAATTAGCGGCTGACAGCTCAACTCGATGTACTATATGAGAACTGAAAATCTTCAACCTGCCCGATGACTCACAACACATAGAATTCATAAAACTCTACGCAGGTACTAATTGAGATCTGCTAGCCGATCACTAATCTGACTCACTGATCTGCTTCAGTTATGTGAAACACGTGCTGATCTGCAGATCATTAATTCGTTTTTTTTTTTGTTGTCGCGGGGAATGCATTTACGCACTTCACCGTCCATGCTGCGGGGGCAGCAAGGACAGTTTCGTGTGGGACTCCCGGCCTTAATTCCGGCCGGACTACCCACTAAACCCCGCGGTGTTCTCCTTCGCCCAACCGGGCCGTGGCATCTAATCATTAATTCGTTTAGCTGTTGACTATAGCTTAAATGGTTATTTGAAATAAGCACAAACTGAGAACATAATCTTGAACCACTATCAAATTCATTATAACATTTTTTGCCCCCATTTTAACTACACCATGATCTATGATTTGTTATATAATCGAAACATTCTTGCGTAATTCTGATATAACATGATTCATCGAGAATTATATTTGACCCAAACAGAATGTAACTCAGTGGAATAAGGCAGTGTGAAAGTGTGAACATTTTGTTGATTATCTAACCAAAGTGTGCGGTTCCATCGACGGAAGTAATTGCGACGGAGGCTGCAATGAGGTCAATTTACATTGTTAACTTAATAAAAGTGTGAAATATAATGTTATCGACTTGTCTTTGTTTTCTGCTATATTGTTTTTATTTTGATGAAAAAATTATTAGGTTCATTTTTATGGAAAAGGCGCAGACGACCAGCTTGAACACCAAGGTGAACATTGACGCCCATAGATAACCGCAATAACAGATGAGTTGCCGGCCTTTGAGAAGTGGTATACTCTTTGTTTGGTGATAGGTAGATTGTCACCTCTCCATCAGGTTTAGCCGTAGTCTTGAAATTGTCGCGCCACTGCCCCGCATCTTTCAGTTCTATGCTATTCTAATATTCGGTCGAGTTTCGGATCTCAGTATTGCATCGTAGATGGCCTAATCTAGATCAATGACGTGGATCCCCTAATAATCTTAGGAATTCAATATACTAGAGAGTTCGAGCTTAGGAAGATTTGTACCAACATTTTGTTCACTGGAACCAATAGAATTTTGACAGTGATTTATAAGATAGATATTTGAGAATCTCTGGTTTCTCAAGCTTTTATCTGAATCTTATTTATTCTGTTTTTAAATTGATGTTTTACCTTCGTTAGTTTCGCGTTTGACCACGATCCTATCTGATGTTAAATGATTCTGTTATCCAAAGATGTTACACGCTAAGATTAATTATTTGCCATTATCCATTATTGGCTTATTACAAAGACGTCAGATATTCGAATTAGCTTTTAAATTCTACTTTAAAATGTACTTCGTCATTAACACACTTAGTATGGGAATTGCAAAGAAAACCTCAATACATGTGATAAAGTCGTTAACAATTGATTCAATTGAGCTAATTAGAGACTAGCAGGATGTGTTATAGCCTCGCTATTACGCTGGTGTGACATGTTTATTTTATATTAGCTTTCGCCCGTGACTCCGTCCGCGCGGAATAAAAAAAAACAAGTAGCCTATGTGTTCTTCCAGACTATCCTCTACATCTATGCCAAATTGAATCCCTTCAGCCGTTTAAGCTACAAACTCTAACAAACATCCATCTATCCATCTAAACTTTTACATCTTACTTCTTACTAATATTATAAATGCGAAAGTTTAGATGGATGGATGAATGGATGTTTGTTAGCGTTTGTAGCCTAAACGGCTGAACGGATCTCCATGAAATTTGACACAGGTTTAGAGCATAGTTTAGAAGAACACATAGGCTACTTTTTATCCCGGGAATAGTTACGGTTCCCGTAGGATTCATAAATTTAGTTTTTTAATGTTTACATGATCATTCTGCGACGGTTCGACATATCTTAATGAAATTTGGCACAGATATAAAACAAAGTCTGGAGTACACATGGGATAAGCTTTATCCCCGAGACATGTCCGGTTCCCGAGGGATACGTAGTTTTTGTAATTTATATAGTTCGTATGTTTTCTAATACCACGCGGACAAAGTCGCGGGCAATAGCTCGTTTATAATATTAGTAAGATGAAGATAAATTAAAAACCTACTTTCCTTCTAATCGTATTACCAAATGTATGTAAATTTTAAATATCGTATGTTTGTCCGCTTTCCTTGATCATTTCTAAAGATTTTTAGTTCTTTGACTATTATTAACCCCTTGTGACTGTAGTTAGGTACAAGTAATTCATCACCCTCATCATCACCAGCTCACTATAAGTATGAAATTGAATGCCAAAAAATAATTACATTCAAATGTAACAATAAAATTACTAACACGAAAGATTTTTGGTTTTAGAAAATGTAAGTTGTCATAATTTTTAGTGGGAGAGTTTTACTTTCAAACTTACTCGTCTAGTTCGAAGAGCTAATAAATAACATTTAAAATAGTATTTTTTTTAAGTTTTATGTTCTTGAATTTATGTTAAAGTAAGAAACGATCTTGAAACACGAATATTTAGAGAGCACGTTTCGAATTTATCGCGAGTGTGCAAATTCAGTGACTACGAGAGTACAGATCAAGGTTTTATAGGTATCATTGAATCTGGTTTTCTATCTAGACCGCAACATAAATGTCGGTTGAAATATAAATACAAGAATAGGACAAGGAGTATTTAATTACAATGAAGAAATATTTAAAGTATTAGAGATATTACTAAAGGTATTTAAGCCCTGGTGAAATAATTATAAAGTCGGTTGACATTTCTTCTAAATCGATATAAATTAATCGAATTGTATAATCGACTACCCACCCATGTCGCAATCGTAAGTAAAGTCAATAAACGAACAGGATGTGTTATTAAATCGATTTAACTAAATCGATTAATGACTCACGGCTGCAGTTGAAGCCCTTGAAAAGACGAGACATCGATACCAATCGATATTATCGATTCGAACGGCAACTCTTGGTTGCATTTTGCCGGATGGAACTGGCCACTTAAGTGAGTTTGGTGATTGTCTCTAAACAATATTGTTTGTTGTCTTTCCGCAGTTCAACGTTCGGCGCAAGAAAGAGCGGTGCGCGTTCGAGATATAAAATTCGCGCCAAATTCGAAAAAAAAAAACTTTTCTTGTGGCCAGTGACATTAAAAATAAGATTTTTTTTTCTGAAAAAATCGTAATTTTAGACAGTAAAGTGAGTGTTTATAGTAAAAGACAGTAAGAATATAGAGTAAGTATTTAAAAATCAAGTACATGTAATTTATTAAATAATAAAATTGTTTAATTTAGTTGTGCTTTAGTGTTCGTTTTTAATTTATTTTCATTTTAAAATTATTTGTATTTATGCATTGTTCTGTAGTCTACGACGTATTATTCCGAATCTTATCATTTATGGTGTCACAAAAACATGTTTCTAACCTTATTGCTTAAAATTAAAAACATCTTGGTAACCTACATGCATTAGTTATAATTGTTAAATATTTATGTATATTATTTTATTACAAAGCTGGCATTTATAGCATTGTTTATACAATTTACATTTTAATTTGGATCGGACTCGTTCCGTTCTCTTCATTATACTTTAAACTATATCTACACATTTTTTCATTGAGTTGGAAATAAAGAGTTATTGATATTTTTATCTATTATTTATATCAGTAATAAATGAAAAGAAGAAAATGTTTTTTTGAAATACTTTACATTTCATTTTATCAGTAATAAATCTTACTTTTTACTTAATTGATGGATGGATGGATGTTTGTAAGACTGTGTAGCCTAAAGTGCTGAAGGAATCTTGATAAAATTTGGCATATATCTAGGATGATAGTCTGGATGAACACATAGGCTACTTGCTTTTGTTTTGTTAAATCCCACGCGGACGGAGTCGCGGGCGAAAGCTACTACTAGATAAACCACCAAGAAACTTTCGTTTTGTAACTCTTAAAGTTTTTCCATTAAACTTCAACACAACTCTAGCTTTTATTCGAAACTGTAACTTTAAAATAGTTGTATTGGTATATTTTTATAAAAATCAGCATAAAAATGCTACATTTCAACTACATTTTACGTAGTATGGGCATACCGCTGTTCAACTAAATCTAAACTAAAATACTTATCATAATTGTACAATTTTATTTGTTTAACGGTCCATTTTCTACCTTACACGGTAACCAAAGTCAGTACCTACCAGTTCACAAACCTTCTAAAATCGAAGCGCTTTAGTAAAAGTACATTCGTTGCAATCCAAACCGGATTTTATGGAAAAATTTACAAGCTAAATCTTGTGAATTATCATGACCCTTAATGTTTATTTGTATTTATTTTTTCACATCTTTAATACATTGCAATTTTTATAAATGCATCTTTGATTATTTTTTAAAATTGAAAGTAATCTCTTCTAATGCCTTTAATTGCGATTTATTTGTTAATATTTTCATTGTCTGTTTATTTAATTATCTGTAAAATGTTATGATCCATAGAGATGAGCATCGTGAGGTATGTATTTATGTCTACAATGAATCCCAAGTTACCGATAATATTATGCTTTTTAGTCATTTTCATACATTAAAAGTAAAAAGCTTTCACCCACGTGGAATTAATTAAAAAAACAAAAGTAGCTGATTTATTCTTCCAGAATATCCTCTACATCTATGCCAAATTTCATCGAGAGTCGTTCAACAGTTTAGGCTACAAACTCTGACAAACATCCATCCATCTTAACTTTCGCATTTATAACATAAGAAGATTAATGCGACTAATGACTTTTAAATTGTCATTTCTATAATAAATATAAACTTTTCAACATGTTCTACCAACAATGCATGGCCGACTTGATTGTTAATTGTCACGGTCAATTGCACCAACTAACCTTGATACGTGGAAAATGTGCAACCTTTCCTCGTATTGGTGTGACACTATTCACTTACTAGTAAGTACCTGATTCCACTGGTCCTGACACCGCGACTTGGACTCTACGGATGTCAATTTATAGCAGTCGTGGCTGTGCCCGTGGAATTTCCAACTCTGTACAAAAGTCGCGTTGGGCCGAAGTCACGTGCCCAGCAGCTAAATCAAAAATGGGCTTAAAGTACTACTGTATAAAGTATAAAATCGTGCTACAGTTAGAATATTTCCAATACATATATACAGATTATTTAGTCTTATAAATTTATATTACAATCAATAGCTAAAATTTTAATTTATTTCGTTCGCTGTTTGACCTTGACAACTACCGCGACTTCTACAATTTCCTATTGTTAACATAACAGGTTTTTTAAATATACATGGAAATAGATTATGGCACAGTCCACTCTTTCACTAAACCACCAAAACAGTATACACCTTCAGTTTCAGTTAAAACTGACGGGTACAGGCAAAAGTTGAACTGTCAGTTAAAGCTGAAGATGTGTCATGGGTTTAACCTCGCATGTCTAGCCATCCTTTAAGATTATATGATAATTGGAAATGACCTTTGACCTCCAAATAATATCTATAAAATTATACAACACACCTGCTATCTTTCTTTCCGCCTAACCTTCTAAAACCTAATGAATTTCTTCAAGATCAAACTCGTTATCCTCGAGAAACTTGGAATCAGTGACCGGTTTTAAAGTCAATGATCGTTTTTTTTTTTAAACACTTCTAAATCACGTGACATTAAACATATACGAGATATAAATATACTTCCGTACTAAAATTCATTAAAAATTCTTAATATCAAATTTAGTGCGTTTTTGTTAGCGTTTGTTTAATACCAAGGCAAAGAATGAATATATGCTTAAATACTTACGTGGGAACAGCATTTAGTTTGTATTTTGTTTAAACATTTTTATCTTAATTGCCACTTACAATCCATTGTTTTCGCATTTGTAAAAAATTAAGTAACGTCACAACCAAAAAGGTATAACTTAGCAGGTGGACATATATCGTTTGATTCTATGTAGAAATTATTTTTCGTATTGTTTTAAAAATATGTATGAAGTAATATGATTAATTTGGGGATAGACTGAATTGGCGAATGATAGATCTATCTGAAGAATCAATACTTTATGACAATTGCAATATGTCATAACTAGCTGTTCTCGTGCGACTTCATTCGCATGAAATTATAAAAATCGTTTTATTGATTATATTTGTCAAATTCAATTGCAAATGTCAAAATGACATGACATGTTGACAAAGTATAGCAATTTTGCTTCCTTGATGTTGGCAGCAACTTATGGTCTCTTTCGCACATTAGAATTTTATTCAATATATGTATCCCCTAAGTTTAATGGCGTGAAAATATATAGCCTAAAGCGTGACGTAAGTGTTAGGCTTTTTATTAAAGAAATCATTATTCAAAAATATAGTGTAATTGTCGACATCTTAGGCAACAAAGAAGAGTGTGTTTACGCTTTATTGTAATAGTATAGGTGCAACTATTGAAATATGACAAGTTAATAAAGATTTTCAAAATCCAATTCTATTAATATTCCCTATTATATCTAGTCTTTATAGGCAACTTTACAAGCTTGCAATAAGAGCAGAAACGCCTTATGTGTCTAAAGACCCAGTAATATGCAAAAGTACTACTTAAAATCAACACGTTGAAATCGGCATCGAGCATGGCCTGACTTAACGACCTCCACTAAGTGGGACAAGGTTCGAAGCCAAGCGCGACCAATTGCGGGGAAAAATAAATGCAAAGCAATCAAGAAAATTATTTAATAGCAACATTGACATTTGGTTAACACCTTGTTACTCCTTACATGGTTAATATCGCTCCATAAATTGATATCTCCCATGATAATTTTATAATATTTGAAGTATATATTTACATTTTTAAGCGTGGGAAGCTGCAAATATTATCTAATATTAATTCTTCCTTCTTCAACCTTCGACCTCTTAAATTCCGCATTAAAAAGTATTCTTTACTATGAAAAAATAATTAAAACGACCATTGTTAGTTCAGAAACACTTAATGTTCCCGCAACAATCTTTTATGATAATCCGATCAATAGTTTAGTAAGGAATAGAGTACAAAATAAACATTGAATTTTATTTATATAGAACAGTAAACAACTATAATAATATTTGTATATTTATCCTTCGTGATGTTAAACATTAACAGTAATTCTGTCATCCATTCATGTGATTAATTAAAGGAAACAATGAGCTCTTCAAATCACAATAAAACAGCGTCATAGCGCGATCTCTAAGAAGTACATTACTAAACTAATCCCATTTATATTAGCTTCAAGCCGTTACTTTAGTAAAAAAGCATATAAAACATTGATTGTTGGTTGAATAATCGCGAAGAAGAACAAACAAGACAAACAAGCACGTTCAATATAATTCCAATTTAAAAGACAAGGTGAAAAGAAAAGGGGACTCTAACAGTATCGTGTAAAAGCAGTCATTTCTTTTTTTTATTTCCTTTGCCTAGATTTTCCAGCATTAATGCTGGTTCAAGGTTTCTTAGTATTTCAAGTAGTTTTAATTTTAAACTGTAATCCCATCGCAAACTTTACAACACACGGCCTTAAAGATATCACTGCAATTTAATACGTCATACGAGTAATCTCATTTGACTTTATTTTAATACATTTCGTGTAGATTATACACAGGCTGATGTAAGATTCAAAATAAAATTCAACTAAAACCGTGCGGTTTTCGCAACATTTTCTGCCCCGCACAGCGGTGTTGTGGAACGATTTGTCCTTGACGATTTTTAAACCAGTACGACGTGGGCTCCTTCGAGAAGCGACCATATTATTTCCTCGAAGGGATCTGTATATTTTCTGTTATTGCTGATGTATTATGGCCTTAGGACGAGGATGATTGCGGTGGAAACTAGTATTCTATCAAAAGTGTAATTTTTAATCCATTAGCTATGAATTCTGATCTAAGGATAGTAGTTGCGAACAAATTTTTGTTCCCATAAAATATATTTTAAATTCTACAATTAAGAATCGATAAAGTTTCCTTAAAGAAACTTAACAACCATTAATGAAACTGTTAAATTGTAGTTACAAGACAATGCTCTTTAAAAGTAATTAAGCGAATTTTCTCGTAAACCCTTCAATTAAGACACTTAACCAATACATTAACCGATCGAGGACCTTTAGCCTTAAATTGCTTCCGGAACTTCCACGAACTTTTGTGTGAATATCGATTTTACAGAAGAGGGCTCACTTGTACAGTCGCGGAATATGGCATAGTTCCACTTACAGAGAAAATAATTCCTTGCAACGAGGCAAACACCGCTACTTCTTACAAACTTATTTACACACTTCCTCACAGGGTAAATCGGCACTTATTAAGCGCGTATCTATCCTTCGACCGCGTCTTCACTTAGCTCAGGTGGAATCGTGGCCAAGCGCTATTTAAGTTTTTAAAAATAACTAGTAAGACAAAAGAGAGTCGCGTAAACAACAGGTTAATAATTAAAGAACAATTATCATGTACCACTGACCGAGCATTTTTGTACAGATATAAGCTGCGACCTGTTTATTTACGCATAGACGTCTCAATTTGTACAAACGTTCATACGACATCGCACGATTCCCAGATTGTTCTTTGTAGTCTCAAAATATTACACTAGCCCAATATTATATTCAACTTACTACAAATAACATTCCCTGCTTCGCATTATCACAAAGTTGAGTACTCTTAGCGAATTCAACGTATGAAACGCAAGTACAAACAGTCAGTTTACATTGACAAACCGCTTCTTTAAAACATTGTCATCCTTTACGTTCTCCTTGAAATAACAGAGATAACAATACTAGACACAGCAGTGGAATCTCAGGGTTACAATGATCTAATTGAAATTATCAAAGGAGTTTGTTAATTCACGAAACACTTGAGTCATATCTAAAGTAGAGTATTTGTTGTTTTACAAAACATGTACAAGTGTTGAATATAAACAATTTGAATTCAATCGCTTCTTTTATAGAACATTCTAGAAGAATGTTTTTCACTTCATGATGTTCCGATATCCTACAGGACTTGACTTATTATTGTAAAATCACCTTAATTTAATATATTATTATTGCCTCAAGATGGTCACTAGTGTCTTTTAATTTATTTACAATCAACTATTGCGTCTGTAAAAACTATTTATTATTTAAGAAACTTTCACAAACATGCAATGTTACAGCATGTTCTATTATCTTCATTCCATCTAAGAACTGTTAAGTAATCTCTTGAAATGTGCAATATCAAATTTTACACTGTAATATAAGCTTAACGAACTAAGAATTGTTACAAGAAGAGTTTTGCAACATCCTGTACTCGCGTGTTTTGACGTCTTGATTGCTAGTCGATGGTTACTCGTGGCGCGACGGTGGCGCAGGGAGCACGGCAGAACGGCTGATAACAAATGCCTTCCACTGATAACAAGCGACGAAATTCACTCACAATTATTTACATCATTCGGTGAGTGATGGTTTGGCAAGTTTTCATTCAATTTTCATCCAATAGTCTTTGTCAGAGACATAGAGGGAGTTTCAGATTCCAAGAGACCAACTACTCTGCACGGAGATTGCGCATACGACAAACAACTTTGTGAGGGTGTTTCGAAACCTCAAAGAGTTTCGGCATTTTCGTCTATTAAGTACCAAGGAGGTTATTTAGTCAAGTAATGGTCGAACCCTTGAGCTGAAGGTCGTTCAAACATTCCCTTTAAACAGACACAGAAGTAATCAACGCATCTGAAGTTGATTTGTGTGTTATGGTATCATCATCCACTTGCCCTTTTCCCGAGAGTCGGCACAGTATGTGCTGTTCTTCCATACATCTCTATCAGCCGTCATATCTGAATCAATTCCTTTCTAATAAAGCATATCCTCTTTCACACAATCCACCCATACTTTATTCTGTCTTCCTCTACCTTTGTAGCCCTCAGTGTGTTATGGTAAACTGGGACAAAAACAGTTGATGTCATCATCTATCCATTTTCTACTATTTCACACACACAATAACAATAAAAAATCGTTTACATTAATTCAATTTCACTTTGGATACATAAATAACAATGTAAAATTCATAAAATTTTAAACTAATTAATGCAATAATAAAAACAGATTTGTATGACTTCCTTATAAGATAAATCCAGCCTTCATTCAAAATTACTTCCTATTGCAGGTAGAATTACATAAATACATATTGTACTAAAGATAGTTTGTTATTTAATCGATGACTTTTTCTTATAAATAAATAAATGCATTCATAAAATTGTCCGAATAAATTGGTTTGATGCATTTATAATTTTTATCTTTTCATCCAGTGTTTGCTTTCCGAAGTTAAAGTATTTAATGTAGCTTGCAGTGTTTCTAAAATTATTCTTATCCTTAAGGCTATTGGATTTTCCGAATGTGATTTTGTTTACAAGTCGTTTTCCTTTTTAATTTTGTTCATTTGTTACAGGTAACAAAAGTGGCAATGCTGGCAAGGAGGGGACAGTTACTCAGTATACATTAACGACTGGGAAAAATAAAACTAAACAATATGAAGAAAGAACAGGAAATCCCACCGATACGAACCGTGCAGGATGCATACAGCTCCAAGTAAGTTTATTCTTTAAAAAAATAATGTTTGCAAATGAATTAAATGAAGAATAATAAAGGCTCTGGCTTCCATGCTAGTGGGAAAAAAAGTAAGTTAATTCAATTTTAAAAAACACGTTTTGATACATTTTTCAATTATTTTTTAGCACACAGTTGACTTTATCAGGCTTACTTGTTGCTTTGTAAATTTTGAATATCAAAGAATATTTTAACGTAACTGGTCAGAAGTTCAAAAATTATATAAAGTAATTCAAGTACAGCTAATAAATTATTTTCTAAGTTGTAGAGAATCTGAAGAAAACTTGTATATTGCCAAGTATTACTGCACTTATTTGTTAATATTTTTTATTATTAGACATAGTTATTTATCTTAGTTGGCAGATTACAAGCGTTGTGCATTGCAAGAACATAACAAATGAAATGGAAAACATAATTCCTTTTATGAATAATTGTCGTGAACAATATCTCAACACCTCTATACATTTTCAAGGATAACACGATTTACTTCCAGCATAACGAAGTGTGTTACATTAAAGCAGACAATGATAAAATATTGTTTGCGGAATTAACTTATCGTGAAGAGATGATTGTTAGAAATTCTTAAGTAAATATTGAAATGATTCCCAAAATTTATACGTTTCATACTCTCCACTCTCTTTTGTTACCAAATACTAGCTATTATCTTCCCTAACTGTTGTCAAACTTTATTTTTAAATGAGTTTTCACTGTTTGCCTTGGAGATTCATTTACATATTCAGAGGGCTAGAAGTGGCCTAGCGCTGATGCACTTAGTTTAAATCTCGTTAAAGATTAACTAAACTCGAGGTCTCCCTCAGGCCTTGGCTTGGACCATTACTTCGTTATTATTACCGGATTTGGAAACCGCTGAACTCCTAGATTTCGGTGAACGCACCATAAAGTTACTGGACTCAAGGACACCCGAAAGGGGTCCTTGTTTTGGGCTAAAATTAAATAAGCGTAGTCAAACTTCTAAAAGGGCTGATATTTTAAACGTAACATTGACTTATTTTTCTTTCTCACAATGAAGTTAGCATATAAACAAGTAAATATTTTTTTTACTGAAAGCAAGTATAGGGAAGACATGGAAAAAGGTTTCCTTCAATACATTATTTTTATCTAGAATCTTTATACATTCATATATTGTGGAGAACCGCTATTATGTGGTGCACGCCCCCAGTGTAACAATATACTGCCTGAGCTTGACAATGCATCAGTTGTCTATTCACTGGCGCCTTCCAGTCCAGTATACAATGCGATACAGATGAACGAGGCTGATTCCTAATCCATGTTTATACATACCAATAACCCACGCCTCTTGAAACAGATTCAATCATACCTACAATCAGATTAGTTTGATGGTTTTACAATTAGCCCTTAGTATACACTAAGCGGTTCTCTCAGTCACCATTAAACGATTTTATAGGTAGCCGTAATTTAGCATCTAAAAGTTTTGAATTGTCGCTAATGTAAGCAGTTTTATCTCAAAGCGATACAAATCTCAGGCTGTTAATAGCTCGAGGCGACAACGGATTATATTCTAAATGTTTATTGCTGTCGTAAACATTATTATTGTTTGAATAGAAAAAGAAACATCATGTACACTTCAAGGTAGTTTTTTACGTAAATTAAAAGTACCTGAAGTGATTTTCTCTTAATCTAAGTGTTATTTCTAAGATAATGATGTCACTCAAAGACAACTTACTTAATTTGATTTATCCTTTAGATAATGAACAAAAAATATTGTATTATTCTTTTGTTGACATTTCCAGTTCAAACATTTTAAAAAACACGCAATATAACCGCATCATTTTTAATTACAACACACCCTAATAAAATACATTTTATTATTTGAGTATTTTACAACCAATAATTCGAATCGTTAGTCTTTTGTTAAAACAACGAAAAACATATCACTCGTTTGTAAAGGCTACATTGAATTTATTGGCAATCAATAATGGAGGAGCAATACGTTGGTGTCAAGTTAACCCCAATCTCGGAGCTCGCTTCATTTACTGATGAAAGAAATATTTTTTATTGCATCACCCGCACTGGGCCACGTGTAAATAAATATTCAAACATACTTCCGATCCTGGAATTGCATTGATTTATTACGCGTTCACAAAGAGAGGTTGTGTCGTCGGAATGTCCGTTACACAAAGGAGGTATAATTTCGAACCATTTAAAGAAAAAATATACATCTCTTATAGTCTCAACAGATGTTTGTCTTATCTTCAAATCGAGTACCTTTATATCTAAATGCATGTAATTCTACATACATTTCAAATTACAGAAATTAACATTTAAATAAGTTAAACAACATACTTAAACATAAGTCTAAATCCATCTTCTTCTATTGAAATAAAACTCAAGCAAACTTACTTTGTACTTGCAAACTAACTACTGTTATAATTTATTATTAGGTGACCATTTAATTTTCTTGTTAGTATAATAAGGAACAATCCTACAATTTCTAATTAAAAGATGATACATACGATTATCTCTAACAGCTTGCACTAATTAATGAACTACACCTAAAGAGAAAAACGGTTTCCTTATTAATAATCTTTACGATGAACGCGTTTATATACTGAATCATGTATTAATTTTTCCAGGATTGAACTGGCGTACAATGGATCCAGAGAAGACTTGGACCCATATGTCCCTGCAGAGCATAGACCTCTCGAATCCAATACTTCGTAAGTTAAATTAATATCCCACTAAAGTTTACTTTTTTTTAATTTAGAATGATGAGTGAAAGTTTCAGACGTATGGATCTGAATGTTGGGCAGTAAAAAGGATGGATGGAAAGAGAATATATGTGACAGAAATGCGAATGTTAAGATGGATGTGTGAGGTAACACGATTGGATAAGATAAGAAATGAGTATATTAGAGGAAGTTTGAGAGTAGCCTCAGTGGTTAAGAAAATAAGGAGTAAAATATTAGCGTAGTATGGACCACGCTAACCTTGCCCTAAACATACCCATGCATGTTATGAGAAGGGATGAATCGCATGTAACAAGAAGAACATTAGTTATGAATGTGGAGGGGTACACCGGTAGAGGTAGACATAGAAAGAGATGGATGGATTGCGTGAAAGCTGACATGATCAAGATGATGTGATGACTGAGATGACGGATGATAGAGTTATTTCGAGGACGAAAAGCCGGTATGCCGACGCTACGGGACTAGGACAAGGCAGAGATGATGATGTTTCAGTCGAAAATTGATTGTTTAATGAGCTACAATTTGGTACGCCAAGTAAAAAAAAGACTGAACTTTATCTACTTTTATATAAATAAGGGATAGGTTTGATTAGTGTTTTAATTTTTTGGTAATAACTAAATAAGGTGTCACTAGTTTTTCACTTGAGATATTTTATATTATATTTTTAATCGTATTTCAACAACAAGCAACAATACAGAGATGTAGATCGAGTTGTTAAAATTAGCATTATGTAAATAAGATTATGTAAGTACATAACATTAGGTATCTTCGAAGACAATAGTCATTATAGTTACACGAACGGAATAGTTATTACATAAACATGGCTCATTAATATGCAATTGAGGGCAAAACATTTGGGCTATTCTATTGCTTTGTAAATCTGTACCTACACTAACACTAACATGGAAAAAAACTATTCGAAAGTAACAGAATAAATAAATTCAATAACATATTTTTTCCCCAAAATTTCGTGTCGAAATGTATTTTGTCAAATTGTTTTAATTAAAATGTTACATACTTCAATATTCATGTTCCTGAAATAATTAATTTTAATTGATTGTGTATATTAGTTTAGAATATACAATTACTAGCTTTCGCCTGCGACTCTATGCCCTAGCGACCTAGCCTATGTGTTCTTCCTGACTATCCTCTACATCTATGCCAAATTTCATCGAAATCCGTTCAACCATTTAGGCTAAAAACTCTAACAAAAATCCATCCATCTAAACTTTCGCATTTATGATATTAGTATGTAGTATGATTGCATTTTGACAGTAGGATTCATTAATTAAATGTTGTGCGAACCCAAAGATGTTAAACCAATCATTTATATAAAAAGATAAAGATATTATCACTATAAAAAAGTAACATTTGTTAGGCCTGTTACCTGCGCACGTATTTACTTTATATAAAAATCTCGCCCCATAAACTCAACAATATCTGCTTATATGACCCTTTATGTAATAAAGTTATATAAAAAAGAAAATCATAAAACATAATCTACCCATATTTTTTGCAACTCGAGGCCATGTGTGCATAAGAAAGTGCCATAAAAATCTGTGCAAACAGAAAGTGCGGCATTAACTTATCGTCAGGTTTATAATCCTTAGAGCTAGAGTGATAAGATTTTATAAAGATACTTGTATACTTACAAACCAAGTATTTTAACGTCTATACTCAATCTAGTTAAAAACAGGACAATTATCACTTAATAATGTCAATCATTTCCTACTGTTATTAACAAACAAAACCATCCAACTCATTTCATTGATACCTCTTCAAAGAAATAATTATTTCGTCTGACAGAATTAAGTACAAATTACTTTTCAAAATAATAACATAAAAAAACTTTTTCGGCTACACCTAAAGTACGTTGAACGACTGCAAAGCGATATATTTCACTAGAAATCCATGAATAAAATTCCACGCATCTGCTTCCGATCGTAAAATAATCGTCAATCATTCACCTTATATGAATAACTTAGAATATAAGCTTTGAAGAGGCTTTCACGGCACGTCGCTTACAATACCCTTTACTTAATGTCTACTCACATTTAATAACCGCAGGTTTTCACTGCCATAACACTATTTCTGAAACATATTCTCATCTCGCCTAATCACGTTTAAGAGACAGAGAAAGGAATATGTTTCGTTCAGCTCTTTCGTGAGAGGAGACTTATGGTAACGCTAACAAATGACTTGGAAAATTTTATTCAAGACCTGTTATAAGATTTTTAACATTAATATTACTTATTGAGAGTACTAAAAATAATTTATTCGTGTCATAATGTATTCCAATAACAGATTTTAAATAAAAAATCCCAAGCGCACGATGTCATAAGCAAACTCTATACCTCAAAAGCGCAGCCAGCGAGAGATTTACTTATTAGAAAGATGTGAATGCACGCTTAAATTAAATATCACTATTTCCAGAAGCTTCGGTGCCTTGGCTCATCTGCTAAAGGCGTCCCTTGGATCTGGCGTGCTGGCCATGCCTCTCGCCTTTAAGAACGCTGGTCTTGTAGTTGGCGTTATTGGCACACTTGTTATTGGCTTTATCTGTGGACATGTCATACACGTCCTGGTAAGTTTGTAACACTACCATATATGAATGTTGCGAATACACGGGTAATTTTAATACCAACGGAAAAAAGTCTCGCGTCATTTCTGCATATCGTTTTTGCCACTCTCTTTTTCGTCGCAGTATTTTATAACGTTGTTTACCTCTATTATTGTAATTTAAATTAAAAACATAATAAAAAATAAGGAGTTAAGTATCAAACCATTATATTTAGTACCTTTCAAAACCGCCATTGCGTAAGAATATTTACAATTCAACTTTCACGTTGGCTTATGAAAAACAAACCAGCACGGCACAACTCATTACCCTAATGTTACCCATTGAGAGCCGTCCCTTGGTATTTGTTATTCTTTGCTAAATAGAAATGTAAAATTGCTTGGAAAGCGATCCATAGACCTATAATAAGCTGAGATACCAAACCATTTAGTATAAAACAGTCCGTTATTTTACGAATATAATGTTACTTCTTTACTTCTAAATTTTTTATTTGGTATTTTATAATACCTAGAAACGACAATTTCGTCACAAATTGTATTACCTAATCATTGGTGATCTTTGTAACTACAGCTATTTAAAAAAATATTTGACTCACCAAATGTTTATCTTACCGTTGTCTTCTAACATTAGTTGTGCATATGGTATTGTAAAATTAAATTTTATTGCACCGTTCCAATAAAAATATAATGTGTTTGTTTTCAAAGTTGTATTATACGTTATGGTCTTGTTTTCGTAATAAATGTGTGGTATCGTTAGTTTTGTTTTTCAAAAACGTGATTTTAATTATACTATTATGAAATCGTGATATGAAACTATTTTTTCTTGTTTATCTTAATTGAGTATAACTATTATGATTATGATAATTTTGACTATTTCAATATTCTAAAGGTTAAAACGTCGCAGCAGTTATGCGTTGAAGTTAAGAAGCCATCGCTCGGATACGCCGACACTTGCGACCTGGTGTTTCAGAATGGACCTAAACCCGTCAGAAAGTTCGCGCCTTTCGCGAGGTAAATTACGATTTGATTTGAATAAAAATTGTTTATAAGGATGTAGGTAATAAAAAGCGAAGAAAACGCGTTGTTAAAACTAATTTTGATGAAACACAGTACACAATGACAGTGGGACTCTAATTGAATTTAATATTAACTAGAAACTGCCTTACATGAATTTGATGTATTTTCATTATAGGGAACTTGCGGATTGGGCCCTAGCAGTTACTCATCTAGGGGCGTGCTGTGTTTACACCGTAGTCGTTGCCGAGTCCTTCAAACAGGTAATCTTTGCTACAAACTAGATTTTCAATTGTTTTTTTTAAGTAAATTGTAATTGTAATTGTTGTTTCTCACGTCCTCAGGTGTCAGATGTGTACGGAGGCCCGAACTGGTCCGTGACAGTCTACTGCGGATTAACTCTGATTGTGCTTATACCGTTAACTCAAATCAGCACGTTAAAATACTTAGTGCCTTTCTCCGCTTTGGCGAACTTCGTTTGGTTGGGCTCTATTTGCATATCAATTTATTATTGCCTAAGGGACCCGCCGAAGATCACCGACAGAAATTTAGCCACCTCAATTACAGGAATACCAAACTTTATTAGGTAAGTTTCGTTAACTATCGATAAACGATTAAATGATAAAATTACTTTAGATTGGTTACACCCAAAACTTACGTTACCTCTATTTAAATAAAATTATAGGGATAGAATCACGCTGGTAGTAGAAGTAGGTTAGTAGAGTATATTTGTTCTATTTTGTCGCCTGTGAAAAAAAATAGCAAAGTCTTTATGCGACAAGTTTGCCATTTATAAATAAAAACATTTTATTATGTGAATAAAACACCTATTACCCTGTTAGGACTTTAACACAGTAATAAAAGTGACTTTATATAACTTTTTTCAGTACGAGCCTGTTCGCAATGGAGGGTATCGGCGTAGTAATGCCGGTGGAAAATGAAATGTCGAAGCCGCATCACTTCCTGGGCTGTCCTGGCGTGCTGAACATCGCCATGTCGGCAGTGGCAGTACTATACGGCTTCGTCGGGTTCGCAGGCTACCTCAACTTCGGCGAGGAAGTAAGAGGCAGTCTCACGTTGAATCTGCCTCAGGATGAAATGTAAGTGAATTTGATTTTTATGTACCTGTGGCATAGGGATTCAATTCTATTTCATAACAAAAGCGTGTTCCAATAGAAAATACCTTGATTTCCGAACTATCTATCGTCATAGTCAAATACTAAAAATCTAATTTTGGCTATTTTATGTGACCAGTTGTGATAAATTAAAATATCATGTACCTTATAATGCTCATTTTTAATCAGTTATCATTTATCATTTTATCAGTTAGACTAGATTAAGAAGATAACGTAGAAAGTGGGCGCAGAGTCATACCAGGAGGTTAAAAGGATGGCACATTAGAGGAAGTACTAGAAAATGATCTATCGAGAAGACCATAGTTTTAAAATCCTTAGAAGGACAATGTTGATGCGTGATGATAGAATGTGATTTTATTTTCTCCTGATTTCAGATTGGCACAAACCGCTAAAATCCTGGTAGCCTGTGTTATGTTGTTATCATTCGCACTGGTTTACTACGTACCAGTGGATGTTGTATGGCGACGAGTACAAGACAGAATACCAGCTCGAGGACATCGTTGGGGCATGGCTGCAGTTAGATTCACCGGGACTATTCTCATTGGTAAGTTCTTGTTTAGACATATAGGGTAGGTTACCGACTAGGCACTTTAATTTTTTTTTCGATCATCATCCTTCTGTACTTATCTTACTCTATATGATGTTTACGTCAGCAGATCTCAGTTCTATTGTTAGCTTTGACGTCATTAACATTTTTTTCTTTTTCTCAGTTGGTGTTGCCAGTGCAATTCCAAAGCTGGAGCTCTTTATGGAGTTAGTAGGTGCGGTCTGCTTGTCTGTGATGGGCCTGCTGCTCCCCGCTATCGTGG